TGTTCAGATATTAAACATACATTGGGATGAACCATAAGGGTGGTTTACTCACTATGGTGGTTCACTTGTAGGTATAAAAGTCTTTTACTGACTGTCAAATACTTCCTTCCAATTAGTGTGTTTGTCTAACAATAAAACCTTAGTAACGTTCATACTTAAAGTTTAAATAAATTGTTGTCTAATTTAAGGAAAGAAATCTCTTTTACATAACAATGTATGTATAAATAAATATTCGTAGGATTTTTATATAGAATTGTTATCTATAGATATAATATTAATTGAAATAACCGTTTTTTATTAAATGCATATGAATATAAATATGGTACATACACCAAAATAACATTTTTTACAATTTTTGTCTGTCTGTCTGTTTGTTTATTCTGGCTAATTCACGAAATGGCTCGACAGATTATGAGGGGACTTTTTTTAGGAGGTAGCTGATGTAATAAGGAGTAACTGAGGCTACTTTTATTTTAGAAATAGAAAAATAAAGTTAAATTCCTCGCGGACGAAGTTGCGGGAATAGCTAGTAGTAAATATAGACGGCTGTCCAATAATGTATTGATAAAATAATAATTCATAGATAACTAGACAAGAATTTTTATTTTGGAGGCTTAGTTAAAAATAATATACAATACAGGTTATTTAAACAATCCAACAAAACCTATGGGTAAACCTACAAGTGTGAGCTACAGCAATACAAATAAATACAATGATTCAAGAACTGCCGTTTTTTATAGCAGAAGCTAAATTTAATGTTAATAAAAAAAAATGATGTGCGTTCTCCTTTTAAAATGATTAAAATTAACCGTCTCATACTTGACCAAGACATAGTAATGGCTGAATGAATAGTTGATTGAGCCTGTCTATTTATAACTGGAGGCAATTAAAAAAATGTTTCCTGAAACAAAATCACCGGGCTTAAGAGCACACAAATTCACTTCTATTGTTTCCCTTCAGTTGTTGTCCTTCAACCGCAGCCCATGTAAACAAAGCCTTCCTGAAAAATAAAGTGTATATTTTGCGCCATTAAGCCCAGTCATTTAATTTTGGTCGAGAGAGTTCTCTATGAAGGTATATTAACTGAATTTCAATTTTAATTGACTTTCGGCCTTCTTACATATCTTATTGATATTATAAACGCGAAAGTTTGTGAGTATTGATGTATGTTACTCTTTCATGCAAAAACTACTGAACGGATTTGATGAAACTTTACAATAATATAGCTTATACATCAGAATAACATATAGGCTATATATTTCACTCGTATACCGCGGGTATAGCTAGTAAAATATAAATAGTAGCTGACCTGGCAAACGTTACTTAATAAATTTGTATTATTTTGTTTGATTCTGCTATATTAGCATGTGTGAAATTATAATTAAACATAAATAATAAAAAAGCATAAGTAACGTTTGCCAGAATCTACTAAGACCCGTGAAAAGTTGTAAGAGTGGAAATATAAGTAAATAAAGAAGTAAGAAACTTAACTTTTTTATTAATTTATTTTTAACTTATCGTTATTTTTATTGACCAACTTTTTAGATTTATTTCTTAACTATATATTCAGGAAACGAACAAAACGACCATAAAACAAATTCTCTTGGTTGCAAAAATAGGTGAGATAGGTACCGGCAGATACAGGGGCGTATTACAAACTAAAAATTGCTTTTCTTCAGCATTAATAAATAATATAGTTAAAAATAAAAGAAAAAGGATTTTTACACATGCACATAATCATATTCTTTAGACATGCACTGATGTGTAAAGAATACTTTTTATTTTTAAAATTACTCTATATTGCATTAAAAATAAAAATTAAAAAGTTTTCTTCAAATAAACCTTCTTTGTTGTTTGTTTGTTATGGATTTATGAAACTTTTACCGTTGCAAAACAGTTGTTCTATTCTACACACTGTACAAAGTGGTAGTTTTTTGTTTACTGCCCTGGCAACACCGCGGTTTTACTTTTACAGTTTCTACCGTGAACATAACGCGAAAAATATTCATGTAGACAGTACATACTAGAGTAGTTTTGAATTTTATGTGAGTACGCTTGTTTTTCTGAGCTTCAGTGCTACGGTTGGGTGTTTTTGTACAGCTAACAACCGGAACGGTTCTCTTGATTTTACACAATGCGATATTTTCGACATAACTCAACGAAATGCTGTGATCGGGTCATAGGTTCGATTCTAGAAATAATTGTAAGTATATTATATATTTCAGGTAAATTCACACAACGCCATTTAGTCCTAAGCTAAACAAGCTCTGCTTATCATGGGACTAGATGACGCTGTGTGCATTTTGCAGGTTTATTATTACATATATTTATACAGTATATAAATTTGTAGTTTGTGCATAGTTTCATTAAGTAATTATTCAAAGAAACATTATTGATCCATCTCTCAAATATGAAGCACGGAACTCGTTATAAAGTTAAGCAAAGTTCAAGTTTAAAGCTAAAATTTAATCATATACATATACAATGTATTGTATAGTCTGTGGTTATAGACAATCTGTTTACAAATAGATATATTGATTTATCTCCACGGCTGTTATTCCAAATGGGTTAGCCAGAGTCATTGTCAATTATCGACACATTTGATAATTATATTTCACCTATTTACCCGTCTTTTACGCATCAATTTCGATTTGTTAACGGTATTTCCGTTACCGTAGAGTATCAGTGAAAATCAATTATTATCACAACAAAAAGAGGAGGAAGTTACTGCGGAAATGGCGTTCAACATAAAATATTAACTCAAGATTTTAGCTTCAGCTAGATTTAAAATCACGACTTTTGGCTAATGGCTCATTTTAGGTCGCAAACCACTAGGCCATATACTCTCGATATGTTGACGGTGTTTCTATCACTGGAGAGTTAGCAAAATATAAAAATTGGCACAAAATTTTAGCGTCAGATAGATTCGAAATCACGCCCTTCATTGTAATTCGGGGTCGCAATCACTACGCCACTGTGCCCTCTGGATATAATGCGTGTAAGTGTGTCACATAAGGATTTTCGCGTCCCAATTTTGTTGTGCGGATTTTATAAGTTGCGAAATCTCGTGTAAATCAATACATTCTAACCATACACGGCGAGGGCGAAGAAAGCTGTTTATTTTTTAACAAATTGGCCTGTGGAAGCCTTAGACACCAGGGGTGGTACGTGTGCGTTGTCGTCCCTAAATACCCCTTGTCAAGTGATGCTAACCCTAAATAAAATAAAGCTAAAAATTAAGAAAACAATTATTTATACGTACATTTAGCAACGTACCCCGAAAAATATACAAAACAGCAATTTATGCATTGTAAAGTTATAAACAAGGAGTTTCATGCCTGTTCTTCTCTACTTTATTGGAAGTTCAAATTACAAAGTGAATAAAGTGCAATAGAAACTTCTTTTATTTTGAATTGAATAAAATTGATTGCAAAATATATAAATTAAAGTCGCAATAATGTAGCTAAGTATATTCCGCGTCCCATCCTTATTGGACGGATTTTATAAGTGTTAGTTCTTTCGTAAATCTTTACATCTAGATAAAAACTGTTTTTATTAATTGTAAATACTTCCATCCGAGCCAATACAGCTGTAATTGATTTTACAAAAAATCACAGACGCAATAATAAATAAAATAAAATAATCCTGAACAATAATGCATAATGACGATAAGTAAAGTACATGGTTATAATGACTATATTCAGAAGGAAATTATTTTATTACGCATCCCATCCATATATTGGAAAAATCACATGCGTTATAATGATTTCCAACTTTGTGCGGCAGTTCTTATTTTATTACTAGCTTTCGCGTAAATCTCTCTAGACAACAATTATTTTTACTATTTATAAATACTTCCATCTGAGCCAATACTGCTGTAATTGATTTTAAAATACATATATTAGAAAAATCACATGCGTTATAATGACGATAAGTACCGCCGCGTCCCAACTTTGTGCGGCGTTTATAATGAATATACGAAGGAAATTATTTTATTACTAGTAAATACTACCTTTAGATCCAATAAGGCTGAAAGTGATTTTAAAATACATATATTTGATAATTCACATGCAGAATTATAAATAAAATAAAATAAAGCGGGACAATAATGCAGCTAAGTACCTATATTCCGCGTCCCATCCTTATTGGGCGGATTTTATAAGTTACTAGCTCTCGCGTAAATCAATACGTCTCACAACTATACGCGGCGAGAGCGTAGGAAACTGTTTAAATACTTCCTTCCGAACGATCCGAAACATGATCAGCCCGACCCGTCCCTCGCACCCCGCCCCGGGAAGGGTTGCTCGGGGTTTTTTTATTTGCTTCACTTCTTACCGCCGAGCGTATTGAGTGGAAACTGAATTGAACGTAAACCTTTCTAAATTACATACTTGAAATTTATGTTGCCGTCTACAGAAGTCACTTTTTTTAACACAATATTTGATTTGGTCTGAAATAATATTGTATATTTTTTTTTCATTTTACTGCAAAAATGTTTTATTTAGGTAATCGATCAACTGTAATAATAATAATAATGTCCCTGGAGAACACGCACGATCTAGTCCTAAATGTGCTATGGGTGCTAAACAACTGATTAGAATATTCAGATACACTTTTTTTGTAAATCTATGTATATTATGTATACATAGAAAACACGCAGAACAATACAATGGTGTCGTGCGAGGAATCGAACCTTTTACCATCGATAGTAAAGCGGTGTGCTAAACCATTATACCACCAAGACCGTCTTAATGTATTGTAAAAATTCTTATAATTTTTTATATACCTATATATATATATTTTTTCGTATACCTATACTTTGATGTGTATTTAGTGAAAAGCTGTTAATTTGAAATTACAAACAAAAAGTTCAATTTTATTTATTTGTACTGATATTTTATATATATGAAATTCTTTTTTTACTATATACGTTGTATATATAGTTTCTATGTAATATATATTTTTTATATATAATAAAAATGTTTTCCTATTTGTTACAGATGCAGCGCCCATCGAGATGAGCGCACTCCGCGCCCCGCCCCCACCCCGCGCCTCTTTCTGTCTCGCTCGCACACACCCTCTCACTTTCACCCCCTATCTCTCCTCCTCCGGCCAGGATGCCTGAACGCGCTCCAGGCCTGCGCCCGCGCAGCATATGGACGCATTTGTACTTCTTATTTCTTATTGGTGAGTGTTATGTAATATAGTAGAATTAAAAATAATAGTATCCTTAGACGATTCACAGCGTCATTTAGTCCCAAATTAAGTAGAGCTTGTGTTATGGGTACTAGACAACTGATATATTTCTTTAGTTAATACATAGAGAACACTGAGACCGATACAAACAATCATACTTATGAATACAAATGTCGGTGCAAGGAATTGAATCCGCGACTATAGGTGGTGTGGCGATTTACTATCATCGTGCGGCAACACCGTTGCCTAGTTACGATGGAGTAAAAAAATTAACAAGCCTGTAATTCGAGACCGAATCGCTTTCTTATATATTTCAATTGTAAATATTTCATCAATATACATAATGTAAATAGCCATCACTGGACTCATCATTCACCTCCTCCTTTCCTGCTGCTGCTACAATACAAAGAACACACAATAAACATAAATAATAGCCGCTAAAAAATAAAAAAATATCTCTATAGTCTATATATTGACACAAAATTTCGTCTAATATTGTGTATTTTTTGTCAATAAGTTAAATTCAGTTTATGAAACATCTATACTAACTAACAGACATAAAAATATTTTTTTGGGAATATTCTACTACTGTTAGCCGCAGCTGGCCTTTATAGCTGCACCGGACAATAGGGAGCGAGTGCAGATGGCACTCAAAACCAAAGGAAGGACTTGTGGAGCGGCTGAAAGTCAACTCCCGCGGACGGACACTACTTTAGTCTGAAGTCACCGCTACGGATTCGAACCTCGGCTCAGGACGTCGTGATTTCGATCTTCATTTCAATTGAACGGAGATGGATAGGAATTAAGATATAAAAAGAGAAAAACTGCAAAGATCTTCGTTTTCATTTTGGTGATGAAACTGCTGTCCGAATCAGCGGTAATTTGAAAAAAATGTGATGATTATTCAAAAGTGCTTCAATTTAAGTTTTTTGAATAAATTATTTTTTTCTATTCTATTCTTTTCCACTTAGTATCACATATCCACACTAATAATATTATGTAAATGCGCATGCAAACGTGTCTGTCTATTTGTTACCTTTTTGCAACTGAATTACTGAAGTGATACTAATTTGATAAAAGTTAAAACTATTTATTCACGGGACATATTCTACTATTATGCATGTCTCACCAACTGATTTTAATATTGTCGTCACCAGAAGTATAAATTGATGCACAAAGTTTTGTGTCAACCAGAATTGTACTCACTACCTTTGAATATAAGTTGCGGTTATAAGCGTGGTTACTACCACTAGGTTACGATGCTCTATTTTCCATAAAATGTCCCATAAACTTTAAAAGTTTCGGAACGATCATAAATTATTTATAAAAACTTTTGAACTGATCTGATATAAACAAGGAACGAAAAACAAAGTTATGTTGCCGCCAACCAAGGGTTGCCAACTGTATGAGAATTGTTATACGTACGATATTTTAGATCTTTGGTACGAGACAGTTCCACCTGGTACAAGTTTTGTACCTGTAGTGTATCGAGGAGGCCTTTGTACAGCATTGGACGTCTTCCGGGCTGAGAATGTTGATGATGATGATGACAAGTTCGTACAAGATTTTTATCTACAAAATTCGGCCAAAATATGATTATGTACGAGGTTTTATTTTATTCTGTATTGTATCAATAAAACTGTATAAAAAGCGAGCTTAATGCCATACGGCGTTCTCTACCAGCTACCCTTTAGGTAAAGTTAGAAAGCGTTGAAGACAAGCAGTCATGACGAAAGATATAACAATAATATGAAGATTTGTCGTCCTGAGTCGAGGTTCGTACACCTACCAGTGCCTTTAGAATAAAGTCGTATCCGTTAGGCAGGAGTTTGCTTTCAGCCACTCCATAAGTCCTACCGTAGGTTTGGAATGCTATCTACTTTCGCCTCTAATCGTTCGGTGAAGCTGTAAAGGCTAGTTGCGGAAAAAATCATTAGAATTAAAAAAATATCTTATATTAATAATATACGATATTTTTTACTTTTTCGTACGACATTTTTTAACGATGACAACCCTAAGTTGTTTGGTAACAGTATAACAAAATACGAGCTGTGGAGAAGTTACGCAATGATTTCTACATCGTAGAAGGTTGGTGCTTGATGGTCAATTGACGGGAGTTAACTTGAACATATTTACAAATAGATTGTTCGTAAAGAATAGTGTATAGTGTAGTTCAGACTTAATACCAGAAATTAACTATTGAAATAACAGAATTGCAATAAAATTATTATTTTATTGGAATTGCTGATGGTAGGTGGTAAATATTGCCTATATACATCAACAGCACTACGGATATTACGTTATCATAACACCGGGGATACCACTTAAGTGTTTTCAATAAAATAAGCAAAAAGATAAAAGTAAAGAAAATAAGCTTAGTGTTGAGTGTTACCATTATTAAGCAACCAAAACTACTAATCCCAAAAATATATTTAAAAAAAGGGCAAAGATATTTTATTAATATTATGAATGCGAAACTTTTTTATGTATGGATGTTTGTTACTCTTTCAATCAAACACATGTGCTATATTTTCCATTGAAATTTAACGCAGGTGAAACCGTGGGTACAGCTAGTATAAATATATACACAGAGATAGCAGATGTTTTATTTCAAACGAATGATGTAGTACTTTATAATAAATTTTGTAGCAAAATTAAAACTGCAACGTTTTTGATGTATCTAAAATATGATGACTAAAATAAATTATTAAAAGGGGTCCCTTTAGGCAACGTTCCGAAGATACTGGCAGCGTTCTTTGAATAGCTAGACTAATTCTTTGTCCAAGGTAGCTGCCAGCTCTTCGGTCTTCTGTGATTTAACTAAAATATGAAATAAGCAATAAAGGTAAGAGGTAACCGTCGACTATATACATGAACAGCAGTATGGACATCACGTTATCATGAGACACCCGTGATACAATGACTCTATACCCTAAAATATGAAATCCTCACCATTCAATTGAAACACATCTTTCAAAGCAATAGTAAGGAAAACGGACTGAAATAGGTGAGACTAAGGTACCCACGTAGACGAATTTGTGCATAGTCTCCCTCTGCCCTTTAGCCGCTAAAATATATCAAACACACATACACTTATGTATTAAATGGCAAACAACCATGCGGCCCATCTGATGGTAAACGGTTTCCGTAGTCTATAGACACCTGAAACACCGGGGGTGGGCTCCCACCCGTCGTGGGCCGTTTATTTTGTATATTTATTTAAAATCTATATTTGTTTCAATTTCTTAAATAGAGAAAACTTTACTACTTACATTATGGGAAGATTAAAATAGAATAGAATAGAAAATCCTTTATTCAAATAAACTTAATTTAAGCACTTTTGAATAGCCACTTCTTTTAATCTACCGTTCATTCGGAAATGTTTCATCACAAGAGGAATGAGAGTGACTTGCGTATTGCTCTTTTAAATAATCGTTGTTAACTTTACATTTTTACTACCAACTAGCACTTATTAGGGTCAAATATTAAATACACAATAAGATTAAATTTAATTTGATCTCATTTATTAAAAAACCTGTACAAAACCGGGGCTCGTAATTAGTTTATTACTCAAGGATTATTCAAGGAAACATTAGAACTGATTCAGCTTTCTATGAAAGTTACGGAACTCGTTATAAAGTTAAGGCAAGTTTCAAGTTTAAAGCTGATATTGATACACATAAGGGTATCTCGTTATATCGTACAGTCTGACTGTCTGGTTGTGGAAACACTAAAAAAAATTGCAATAATACCAAAATATTGATTGGTACTCGACTTATTGGTTTTCGGACTACTCTAAGGCCGCATCCGGCCTTTACAAGTCACCGGACAATAGGGGGCGAGTGCAGATGGCACTCCAAATCCGCGGAAGGACTTATGGAGCGGCTGAAGGCCAACTCCCGCCTGACGGATACAACTTTAATCTGAGGGCACCGCTAGGGGTTCGAACCTCAGCTCAGACCGTCGTAATTTCGATCCCCGTTTGAATTGGACAAGGATCGATCGGAGGGGTACTGGTAACTAAATAGTTTCGATGTTTATTTTGCTCAATTTTGTGAATGTAACCTATTTTTGTAATGATAATCGTAAGAATTATTGTTTACTAGTACCTGCGTTTTCACCTGCGTGAAATTAATAGCCTATGTGTTATTTTGATGTATAAGCTATATTGTATAGTTTCATTAAATGCTGATCATGCACCACTCTCAAGAGCACTCCGTCTGCTTAATGAGTTATATATATTTTGTCCACTTGACATATTTAATTGTACTGCCACAGAGTTTCACAGAGCTGTAACTAATTTTGTGGAATCTCAGTATTAGTATATTTCTAGATTATTGATATTATTGTAATTTGTATAGTTAATTTTTTTATTTTTTATAATTCATTATTTTTATTTTTTTTTTTCTTTTTTTATGACCTTATTGTTATCACTAGTTTTAATATTAATATATGTATTGCATACGTTTTATTCCTTGGTGAGTGCATTGGTATTGTACTGTAATACTCACTGAGAGCATGTAATTTTATAAATAAATAAATTAATTAATTAAACTTCATTCAGTAGTTTTTGTATGAAAGATTAACAAACATCCATCCACACTCAAAAACTTTCGCGTTTACAATATTAGTAAGATTATTCAATTTGGACTTGATTTTTTTTTCATATATCACAATTTAGACGGAATCTGAATACTTAAAAAGATAGAAAACATCCAGAGCAAACAGTCAAACAAAAAATTTTTACTATGCAAGAATCGAACCCACGTTCATCGTAAGCAGGTGTGCTAAACCGCTGGAATACCGAGGTTAAGATATACAGTATATAACATAGCGTCAGCTGTGACGTAACACATAGTTTCTATTGAAACGTTATTAATGATAGTGAAATTAACGATGTATGTAACATCGTTAATTTCATTATCGTTATTAGAGTAACATCAATTTCATCTAAGTTAAGACGGGATCCATAAGACAATGATGTTCTATAA